ATTCGGGTTTCTGAGCCCCAAAATATAGGAGTAACTGCTATCGAAAAATATGTTCCCAATAATTTGGTCAGGAGAGTAATCCAAAGTTTTGATTCTTAAAGCTAGTTTTAGTTTATTTGGTTTCGCCATATCTCGAAAACTTTTTAACCAAATTTAAAAAATTTTGCACACAATTATAAAATTTATTTATCCGAAGATAATTCTATGCAAACAATAACTTTTAGTAAATAGAAAAAATATTTTACTTATTAATAGTTGAAATATTTTGAGTTTAAAGGTACTTAGTGTTTTTACATGTTTAAAAGAATTTTACACGGCAAAATACAAAAATTTGTCAAGTAGTTCCTAAGAAATCGAATTCAAAAAAAAAATTTTTTTTTTAAATCTTACCTTTACAAGTCATAATTATAAAAGCATGATAAACGCAACATGATTACTTAAATTTACCCTAAAAATAACTGCTTTTCCGATAACCATCTTTTTTAATAACCATCTTTCATAAATTAAATTCATGAGCTAATTTGTAAAGCACACTTCTAAAAATAGATCTATATTCAATAGTTAAATCCTTAAAATCTGTCAATCAAATGTAAAATTAAGATTATTTGATTGGATTAGACTTCATTCAGAAGAATTGTGAGATTGTTTGTAGCTATACACCTAACGTACTGAAAAACACTAAAACGGTTATGTGGATCTTTTATTAATGTATGTCAACATGCAACATAAATTTTTCTATTATATATACAATATATGATTACCTTCTATAGAATATGATACTGCTCCCACATGATTGGAACAAAATACCAGTCTTATAATGACTTAGAGCATTCTGTCCATGACCAATTAAAACAGAAAAATGAAAAGTAATTCTAGGCTCTGTACAGTACCCAAACACTATAAAGGGTAAATTATGGTTCCAGTCATTATCCTCTAAGAACACAGCATGAAAATTTAAAAACAGATTCCATCACTACTTGTTTGTATTAATAATTTAAAAAAACTTAACAAATGCAGAATATAGATTAAAAATATCACGACATAAGTCTATGTGCTTTGATACTTTTTATTTTTTGAATTTAGAATTGTAATGTAATATGTAATTGACACATTCAGATAATCATTAGTTAATTTTCCTCAAAGATAATTTAAATATTCAGAGTGTTTAGAGAAAACACCATATAAAAAATAATGTAGTCAACAACACCAATTTCTGATGTATTGAAAAGCAGAATTGAATTGATAACTCAAAATTAAATTAATATAAATTTTATTTTTAACAAATTCAAAAACAAAACAATAAATTATGTATAAGATAAACATACAATTTTAAACAAATCACAGACTTAATTTTTTTAAATACAATGCACCACAAACGTTTAAGCAGATATAAAATATTTCTATAAATTCTAAAATGATTCATATTTTTTTCCAATAATTTTACTGAATGTGTAATAAATTTATAGAAACAGATAAAACAGAAACAATACCTAAAACATTGAAAATAAAAATAATATTCACCTTTTGACCAGTTTCGACTGCACAAAAGTTTAGGTACAAATGAAAATATTTATTGAACAAATAAAGTACGAAATTTTAATAATTGATTTCATAAACCATTTTTTTAATCAACTAGAACACACCAATTTCCCTTGTGGCAAAACTTCTCTGAGCTGTCTGCGACAAAACTCTCTAGCACTAATATCTTCCTGCAAGATACTTTTACAAATAACAAACATGCATGTTACAAATTTAAAAGAACAAAAGCGCTGTGTTTACAAAAAAAACTATATACAATTTTTTTAATTAAACATGAAATAATTTTTTATTCTAATATTATGGGTGATATTTTTGCATTTTTTAGGGGGAGGGAACGCATTAATTATTTCTTACTTCGCATTTTGTAAATAATTATCACAGTAAAAAAATTAATAATTTAAAATCACGAAATCCGCAGAAGTAATTTCGTGAATCGGGCTTCTCATAAAAGGGTCTCTCACATGCGTGTTTTGTTTCGAGATTAGGTTGTTGTAATAAATATTGAATAAAAAATATCAGGTTTAAAAACTATGGAGAAATCAATAGCAAATAACTGCCGAAAATTCAATATAATTATTGCCTTAAAAAGAAAATACTCAAATGCATGATTGGGATTTTCCATACTGTTTGAAATGTATAGGGAAATTTAAAATCCATGTGAAAATCAATATTAATAACTGCGAAAAATACAATCGGAAAATTACATCGATTTACGACACTACCAGCGTAAATTGAGCGTGTCAAAAAGTTATTATCTAAATACACAATTCAAATATTACGTGCAAATTTCTGTAGGATAGAAAAGAAATTTTTTTTAAACTTTTCAAAAGAAAAATCTTTCTGCATGAACTCTGCAATGTTCTGCGATTGATACAATTTTACGAAGCCAATTTCATGAAATCGAAATTAACAAACGAAATTAATGCTAAAGACTAATATTAACATTTTAATTCAATGGTAAGGAATGTACTGAACAAAATTAATGCTAAAGACTAATATTAACATCTTAATTCAATGGTAAGGAATGTACTGTCGTATGGGTCAGAAAAATGGTAACTAACAAAACTTCAGAGAATAAAACTAAATAGTTGGTGAAACAGATGTTTGAGAAATATTCTAAAAATATTCTGGCCTCAGACCATATCAAATTCAGAACTCTACAGTAAAACCATGCAAGAACCAATCACCATCAGTATAAAAAGATAAAGATGGAAATGGATAGAGAGTGTATTGAGAATGCCTCCTAGAAGAATACCTTCAGTAGTCTTAACATGGGCACTAGAAGGCAAACGAAAAAGAGGCAGACCCTTGCTAACATGAAGAAAGAGGACAGGCAGGATGAACTAGCTGATCCGAGGAGAGATCTTGTGCAAAAGACCGAGTGAGCTGGCACAAGAAGATAAAGGCCTTATGTGATCAGGGGTCTGTCCAGGCCGAATTTACTACCGTTTAGCGGTACCTTCACAAGCTCAATTTTAGGTAAAACGGTAGTTTCACAAATTCAACTTTAGGAAAAACGGTATTTTCACAAAATACTTTTTCTTAAAATTTTATTTTTGTCTCCCTTAAGAAACGATAAATCTATATTTTTACCATGTTTTAGTGTTGACTTTTTAATATAATTTTTAATTTTTCACAAATTATGTCAAAATTTTCACAAAATAGGTACTTTTAAGAAAAACCTAGACAGACCCCTGGTGATACTCGGCACGAAGTACGATATATTAAGTAAAAGAATGTAACAAAACTGAATTTGCATGAAACCAAAACTTCCTTTCGTCCTATTGCAACAAAAGAAGTTATAAATAGTTACCAAATATTTAACTTTCATTTCATTTGTTGTTAGAAGCGAATTCTGCAATCTCATTAAGGACTCATATAAAAAGATATAAAATATTTCGAAAAAAAACCTAGATAGGCTAGGCATTTTCAAACCCTGACTTGACTACGAATCCCAGGTTGGGAATCTCTGGAATAGGTTTGCTGCTCGAAGAATTTTTGAATAAAATAACTAGTTTTACAAACATATTTACCCAATGTAATAGCAAGCTTAAAACTATAGATAATACAAAATTTTAAGAGTTTTTCAGAATACAACTAAAAAAAGCTCTGCCATGTTTTTTAGAATCCCCACTAGAAATAATAAGAAAAGACTAAGACTTCATAACCTTTAATAATAAAGGTTCTCACATATCATTTCTTCATTATGAGAGCCTCAAATTAATTTTTTTTTCAGTGGTACTGAATTACTGCAGAAACTTTTCAAGTTAATAGAAATTTTATAAGACTATTACAAAACTGATGACATGAAAATTCAACTGTTAGATCTTTTATATATCTGTCTAAAGTATTTATATACAGAGACAGTCAAAATTTCTTAATTTCTAATTAAAATTATTATTCAAAATATTAATAAATTAACTTTTTTACTAGTAAGAAAAATATTTCAGGAAACTATGGAAATTCTATAGCATTTAAAGTATGATACCGCATGAATTCAAATGTGTAACATACACAAGCACAATTTAAATATAAAAAATTAAACATAATTTACAAAATATCAATTAAAGGTAATCAAAATTAAAGAATTTTCAGTAATCGTGTTAATTTTTTTAGCATAAAACTTTTAGATTTGGCAGAAAAGTTCAATTCAATAGAATTTCTAAATGAGAAGAGTACGAAGAAGAAAATTTTTCAAGTTTATGAAAAGAAGGGAGCGAAATCTAACGTTTTGCCTTTTTTAAGTCAGCTAATCATATTTGTACTTTGAAGGATGAAATACTAAATTATAAATGTGGTTTTTTGTTCTATAACAAAAGCAGGAGTCTAATTTTAACAGTTAAAACTCCTTTAGAGAATCTTCTTTAATTATTTTAAGATTTAATATAAAGTATAAATGTTACTTTTGGGATGTTTGTATAAAGTATTTATAATTTTCATTAAATGTGTGTAACTAATGCAATTCTAAGTTTTAAACAATCTAAATTTTTTTCATAAAGCCTTAAGCTTTAAATTCTCCAAGTTCAACTATGACAAAAACAGATCACCTATTATAAATTTTGATTTAAATATAAAATGTAACACTTTCACGAAAAATTATTCAAATTTCTCATAAATAATTTTAAAAATTCACGTTTTAAAAATGTTTAATTTTTCAAGAACTTTCCAACTGATTTATTTATAATTTTGTAATTTAGCAAGAAGTATGTCGTTAGAAAAAACAGAAGATGGCGTGCACAAAGTGATTAAAAGTAACAATTTCGTTTTTTTTTCAATACGCAAAATTTAATTAAATAGTTAGAAAGAACAACATGCAATAAAATAGATAAATAATCAAATAAATTTAATATTTAGCAAAATTTATGCAAATTAATCTTTGCACTTTTAAAATTAATAGTATAGAAAAAAATTCAACAAAAAACATTCATTAAAATATTTATAGATAAAAATATTATTTTTTACATTAAAATTTAAAGCTCATAATTCATATTTATAAAACATTATTTTAAAAAAATATTTCCTTTTTAAAATGTTTCCAAAAGTATGTATGCAGACTCAGTCGCAATCACATGTGATGCAGCAACATAGAAAAATACATAAAAAGTGAAAAAATATCAAAAACTGTACTGTACTGTACATCTCAGGTGAAGCTAAAACCTAAAAAAAAAGAAGACATTGAATTTGAAGATATTCATTAGTTTAAGATCAATATGTTCCACTTCTTCTTACTTTAATTTTTTATAAAATAAGAAGCATTAAAATATAAACTGTGATCAAATAAAAAACATATACAAAAAAGAAGAATTATATTCTAAAGGCATTAAGGTATTACTCGATTTTATGTAAATACACTGAACACCTGGTTACATGATAAGCAGATAACCTGCAGTTTGCTTCTAGTAGAAAATATCCCATCAGTAAATCTAAGGTGGAAAGATTTTCAGAGTACAAAACACTAAAATAAATATTTTCTAAAATACATTACAGTGTTTTTATTCAGTTTGCTAAGAGGCACCCTCAAGAACATTGCATAGGACAAAGTAAAGAAATCCTGCTACTTGTCATTGGTTAGTTGAAATTTTTTTAACAGTAATGACTTTTTAAAACAAGTAGCCATGTTTTCAAAATTTTAAAAAGAACAAGACATTTAAAATTGACAAGGCTCATTTCAAAAATTAAGAAATGTTTTAAGAAACAAGCGAGAAATAAAGTAATTTTTTGATTATACTATATTCATAACAATTTAATGTTTATTTTTTTAAAAAATAATAATAAATTGCACAACATGGGTGCATTTTTAGCAAAAAAGTGGCGACTGGAAGATAGTTTTTTAATCTTCACATGTTACATTTAGTGGTCTGTGTCCAAAAATGACCATTTTTTTTTTTTAGTTCATAACAATTTCATGTTTATTTTTTTAAAAAATAATAATAAATTGCACAACATGGGTGCATTTTTAACAATAAAGTGGCAACTGGAAGACAGTTTTTTAATCTTCACTTGTTATATTTAGTGGTCTGTGTCCGAAAACAACCATTTTGCTTTTTAGAAAACTGTATAGTAAAACTCCGATTATATTTAGTGGTACTTCATTTTTGGGGAACAAGAATATTTTATGAGAATATTTTCTAAATGAAAAAAGAACATAAGCATCATCATTAAGTATATAAGTACAATAAGTTTACATTATATTGCATCAGTCGAAGACAACAAAAATGCATAGCAAAACTAAAGTGACCAGCAAATAAAGTATCGGATAACTTCATGCATTCGAATGTGGCTGGGGATGGTTTAATTTTTTCTTCCCTCTTCTCTGTCAGTTTCTGCGATTTGCAAAAGTTCTATTCAATGGTATGCAGAATCTATGCAATGGTATGCATAGCAACACCTTTAAAGTTATATTATTTAAGTTGCAAGTATAGTATAGCAAGATATATGAAGAACGTTAAATCGTTTTTCTTTATAGCTTATCTAGATATGATTTTTTAACAAATTGAGCTAAAAGATTTTTTTAAATTTTTTGAGGGAAGTGGAATATCCACAAACAGTACTTTCTTTTGATAATTTCAATAAAAGAATTTTCATAAATGTTTTTATAAAACTCCTCTATAATATTCAATTTATGTTCAAAGTTTACATAGTCATTTTAAAACTTGAAAAAAAGTAAAAATATTCCTCGCAAAATCGTGAATCATATTAAATCAGAATTCTAAATAAACTAATTTACTGCAGTTTTTCAAAACATATTTTTTATAATAAAATGTTTTGCAGTCTCTGGTAACTAAGACATTTGAAAGTAAGCTCTTACTGAATCAGAGTTTGGTCACATTCATTATGTATACATACAATCAGGGTTGGAGTTTTTGCCGGCAAAAAGGGGTTTTTGCCAGGACAGTGGCAAAAACCTGGTAAAAACCGGCAAAAACTGGTAAAAACCGGCAAAAACCAAATTATCTAAATTGCTGATTAAATATTATTACAAAATACTTGAAACAAATTTAAATCAATCATAAGGAGGTAATTGTTCTC